CTGCTCAGATTCTACTGACTCTTTAAGAAACATCTGAAGACATTTTTATTCAGACAGGCTTTTAGTTAAGTGTTTTTATTGTGTTTTAATTGTTGTTTTTATATCTGTGATCTGCTTTATGTTTTTAATTAGTTTTAATTTTTTTTTGCTTTCTGTGAAGCACTTTGTGATGTTTGTGTCTGTGAAAGGTGCTATAGAAATAAAGTTTACTTACTTAAAACCAGTTGATATGACAGAATAATTACAACTTTCCTGATATTAGCAACACATTGCTGATAACGTCTGTCCACTGTCCTGAGATGAAAATTATCCTCCTCAGAATAATTGATCATAAGGTTAACTGATTTATGGACTATCATGGCAGACCTAGTTGGACCAGTCTGCTCTGATACCTGAGGGGAGGGAGCGGTTGTGACAGATTCTGGTCCGGACCGTCGGCCCGACCCTGCTCACCGTCCTCGGAGTCTGGGACCTCGTTGTCCTCCTGGTCGTACCCGTCCAGAAAGGTGAGCTGAGGCAGCAGCTTGAAGACACCGTCCCTGTAGTCCTCCAGAGACGAGACGTCACAGCTGTACAGGTCCAGACTCTTCAGGTTCTTTAGGTTCTGCTGTAGAGCCAGACACAGGAAGTTCAGACAGAAACCTGCAGGTTCTGACCCGGACACGTTGGACCTGGTCCGGCCCAGACTTACCAGCGGCTGGATGGAGCTCAGCTCTTTGATCTTGTTCCCGCTCAGGTTCAGGTAGGTCAGGTTGGGACATTTCTCCACCAGCGTGTCCAAACCAGCTGAGATGGAGTTATCACTCAGCTCCAGCTGGAACCAGAACCAGAACCTTAAAGTGTCTGTGACATGCCTGTCCTTCATGTACCAAAGGTCAAAAAAACATCTTTATACTTAAGAAAATTAGCATAAAACACAAGATTTTACTCGTTTTGTCTCATAACTGGACTATTTTCTCTTGAGTTTGGCTCAGCCAAAGTGAAACAGGAAGTGACATCAAAGGGAAGTCATTAATAAAATTAACTCGTTGGTCTCTGTTTATAAAACTAAATTATTTAAACTCTTCTTCGTCTCTTTGATAGAGACTAAATAATGTAAAGAAACATCAGATTCTGCTCTACAGTCTGAGTTGTTGTTGTAACAACGCTGTGTTTACAGGCTGACATTCTCCTCTGACATCACTTCCTGTTTCTTCACATGTAAATATCTCAACAACCGTTCATCTGACTGATGTGAAATTTGTTTTACAACATGTTATTAATGTTATCTTTCCAAAAATGTATTCATGTTTATTACAAAAATCTGATGTCACAGACACTTTAACACCTTTCTACCTGTCAGGACCTCTGAGGGCCCGATGGACCGGGAGGTCCAGCAGAACTGACCTTTCTGAGTTTGGGCAGCGAGGGCATCTTGGACAGAGAGGTGAGGCCAACGTTCACCATGCTGAGGATCTCCAGCTCCGTGAACTCCTCTGTCAGACCTTCAACTTCTCCATCAGCAGACTGACAGGTGTCCACCACCAGCTCCACCACCTGAGACCACACACAAGCTTCAGAACCAGGACCAACCTCCACACAGGACCTGACAGCACATGTTTTAGAACAGCGGTGTCCAACATGTGGCCCAGGGGCCATCTGAGGCGCCTGAACTGATTTTGTGTGACCCCTGACTTCAGTTCAAGAACTGTACAAACTGTCCCCCTGACACAGGTGGAGACCTTCTAGTTTTATTAAAATAAAATGATCACAAAGTAAAATCTTCTTCCAATAACAAATATTGTCAACAAATAACCAGACTCAGCTTTTTCCACATCTGTCTGTTTTTAATTTATTTATTAAATATTAGAGGTGTAAATCACCATCTTTATCACGATATGATATTACATCGATATGTTTGAATAACAATTCAATATTTCTCCAAATCACAGTCTGTCACCACACGATTCAACTCAGGTCTGCGATCGATTTAATGTGATATCATCTGCCCGTAACACAATGACTGTTAGGTGGACAGATGATATCCATTCCCATGGAGAATATGATGAAGATATAGATCAATATTTTCATTCTGCCTCCATTTAACTGAACCATGAACCATTCAAATCGATATAGATCGATGTATCGTTACACCCTGATTAAATTTGTCTGAATACAGCAAACATTTTCAACAAAACAGTGACCTAAATCCTGATTTTATTGATCACATCAGAATTGAATAAATTGATACCTATTGCCAAATTTCTTTTAATAAAGGAAACCTGCAAAACACTTTTAAAGTTATGGATCCAGATTAATTTACACATCCATTTCCAGCAATAAACCTGACTGTTTATTTGTTTAATTAAAATATTTAATGCTTAGTTTATTGTTGAGCAGGTAAAGAAAACATATTTTTGGCCCTCAAGTCCTTGACTTTTTGATTTTGGCCAATGTGACTAAATGTTTGGACAGGGCTGTTATCAGCTGATTAACATCGCTCCGCCCTGGCAGCTAAGCCCCGCCCCTCACGGTCCAAACCTCCGGCAGATGTAAACATGTCGCTAACGTCGAACATCCCGCTGCAGAAAACACCAGCTGTCTGCTGGATTCAAGCAGATTTCCCTGAATTCACCTCAAACCAACCGTTTCATGGAGGCTCAGCTCGGCTCCGACCCGCTGCAGCGGCGGCGCGGGCGGAGACAAGCGGGCAGGGAAAACTTCTACGGCTTCTGGCGAGTTAAAGTGAGCCGAACTGATGGAAACACGTGGAAATCATCGACAACACGTCGACAACGTGCAAACACTTTACAGTTCGTCTCTAACTTAAATAAAATGTATAACTGAGCTACGCATGGCATGGAGTCAGGCTTGACAGAACATCAACGTGAGAGTTTACATGGTGGAAACATCAAACAGGCCGAGCTACAAAATCAACCAACAGGATCTGATTTTAACAAACAAACAGAGCCGAGTCGTAGCCTCACAAACCGTCAGCGGCTCCGGTACAACGAGATAAGACGCTCGCTGTGTCCGCGAGCTAACTACATTAGCATGTTAGTTGCTAACTCCGGACGGCTCGCTTCATTAGCATTGTAGCTGCTAATGTAGATAGCGGTAATTAATGTACTACATTAGCATGTTAGCTGCTAACTCCAGACGGAACGCTTCATTAGGATGTTAGCTGCTAACTCCGGACGGTTCGCTTCATTAGCATGTTAGCTGCTAACTCCAGACGGAACGCTTCATTAGCATGTTAGCTGCTAATGTAGATAGCGGTAATGTACTACATTAGAATAGCTAATGTAGTACATGCATGTTAGCATGTTAGCTGCTAACTCCGGCCGGCTCGCTACATTAGCAGCTAGCATGCTAATGTAGCGAGCCGGACGGAGTTAGCACCTTCATGTTAATGTAGTGAGCCGGACGGAGTTAGCAGCTAACATGCTAATGTAGTGAGCCGTCCGGCTCGCTACATTAGCATGTTAGCTGCTAACTCCGGACGGCGGACTGCTCGCTACATTAGCATGTTAGCTGCTAGCTGTGATCGGCTCACGCGAGGCTCCTCAACGATGTGACGAGAAGTCGGAGCGTGAGAGAGCCCGCACTCCGCGGGGTCAGCCCACCGGGAGCGGCCGGTTGAAGCAGCGGTGCAGCGGGTCAGCTCAGACTCTACGTGCTAACAGCCGGTATCAGAGTTAGAAACAAATGACGGAACATTTCCAGCATCGTCAGTAGTTTGTTGTTGAAATGAACGAGCTCCGGCTGCTTGTCCTCACTAACCTCGGCGGGACTTCTGTTCCTCAGCTCCGAGCTGATCCTCTTCTTCATCTCCATGATGAAGTCCAACGAGCAGAAGACAAACTAAGTGGAACGAAGAAGATAAAAGCTCACTTCTTACGAACATCAGACGGTGACTAGACCTCCATGTTCTCTGCTGCCCGACCGCCACTAACAGGCCACGCCCCCACACTGGTCTGCTATAGGTCTACAGACAGGACACTCACCAAGCCCCGCCTTTAAACCGTAGTATGAAAAACTCTCGTCTGTGATTGGTTGAAAGCGCAAAGGCGTGACTATCAACAAAACGACAACAAAACATTTAAACTTTACAGGCGCGAAGTCTTTGTCCTGTTTGGCGCCATCTTTCCTGATGAAAACAACCGGAAGGACGTGAAACCATGAAGAATAAACCGTGATCTGCTCTGTTACATGTTTATTTTTATATGAAAAGTCTCATGTGAATGGACAGCAGATTCTACACAGTTATAGATACTTTCAGTTTAAAAGTGTTTCATAAATGTGATAAAAAACAAACAAACATTAAATATTTCTGACAGGTCACAGAGCAACAGAACGACATCACCAAACAGAAATTAATCTTTGGTAAATGATGACTAAAATAAATATTTTACAGCGTGTCAAAGGAGTAATCTGATGAATAAACTCCTGGTTTTTGGTATCAGCTCATTTTAAACGAGGTTCTATGATCTGCAGCAGTTAAAGGTTCGGTCCACAGAACTCAGGTGGAACAGTACGGGATCAATCTTGTGCCAACAGGAACTGAACCTGAAGGTGTTGCTTTGAAAATAACTCAGGTGGAACAGTACGGGATCAATCTTGTGCCAACAGGAACTGAACCTGAAGGTGTTGCTTTGAAAATAACTCAGGTGGAACAGTACGGGATCAATCTTGTGCCAACAGGAACTGAACCTGAAGGTGTTGCTTTGAAAATAACTCAGGTGGAACAGTACGGGATCAATCTTGTGCCAACAGGAACTGAACCTGAAGGTGTTGCTTTGAAAATGGTCAGTGTATCTTTTGATCATTGGATTTTCATTTTRRAAACAGYTATTAAAAAACAAGAAACAAGTGGATATTTGATTTTTGTTTTAAAATACTGGAATTAAAATTAAAATACAAAGCCACTCATTCTTGGTGTCAAAAGGGGATAAAAATGATTTGAGTTTCATTTTCTGTTTCGGATAGCAAAAAAGAAAATTACTTTAAGACAGAAACGAAAAAAGGCTAGTTTATTTGTATTCTACATATATACATATATTCTACACAAAAAGCAAAACATGACAACTTTCATTCTATGAGTGTGTTGTACAGTTGTTGTTCTGTGAGCAGAAAGTTTTTTCCCTCCTGAGTTTTGACAAAAATCTGTGCTTTTTTCTGTCAGTTTGCGTCCTCGGAGTTTTCCTTTCAGCGAAGGGTGGGCAGTACTACAACTTTGATATCGATCTGATACCAAATAAATACTTGGCAAATATATTTGATACCGAAGTCAGTATCAATGCTTTTTACTTGTAGTGGGATGTTTATTGAGTAACTTTGATATTGCTAACACCCATTCAGGTGAAACAGTTTATTTTAGGGTTACAGTAATTTGTCGTATTTTGCTTTTTATTGGGAGAAATAAGAAGTGAAGAGGAGGCAGTAGACGACATGTATTCAGTAAAAGAGACTTATTTGTCCAAAAGCCACATGAAGTATCTCTGCAGCCTTTGGTCACAGAGAGACAGTCATCATACGACTCATTTATGGACATATTTCTCTTATGTTTCAGCCTTTTATTTACAGAAATTAGTATTTTATTATGCAGAGCTGCCAGGCGAGCGCCCCTTTCTCATGGGGGAATAGAGTCGTAGAATACAAACAAACAAGACTTTTTTCATTTCTGCCTTAAAGTTATTTTCTTTTCATAGACATACACGTCTGTGTTTCAGCCTTTTGTTTACATAAATTAATGTTTATGCAGAGCTGCCAGGCGAGCTCCCCTTCTGGTGGGGGAATAGATAGTTATAGAATAAAAAAACAAGCCTTTTTTCCTTTGTGTCTTAAAGTAACTTTCTTTTTTTCTATCTGAAACAGAAAAGGAAACTCAAATCATTGTTAAAATTTTGTTTGTCCCTTTTTGACACTAAGAATGAGACAAGCTTTGTATTTTAATTTTAATTTCAGAATTTTAAAACAAAAATCAAATATCCACTCATTTCTTGTTTTTTAATACCTGTTTCTAAAAGGAAAATCCAGTGACCAAAAGATACACTGACCAACAACTATTTAATTAATTAATACATTTTTAATTTATTTATTTTATTTATTATTTTAAGGTTCAAAGTCCTGGTCCTCACCTTCAGAGCTCTTCATGGCCAAGCACCTGATTACATTAAAAGTCTCATTTCACCTTACAACTCCAGAGGAGACCTCCACTCACAGGATCAACATCTCCTTATGGTTCCCCTCACTCACTTTAAGACCCGTGGTGACCGGTCCTTCTCCTCTGTGGCCCCCAGGCTCTGGAATGAACTCCCTGTTAATCTGAGCTCCCTTCATAACATTGTCTCCTTCAAGAATCAAGTAAAAACTCACTTTTTCTCTCAAGAGTTTAACTAACCATTTCACCATTACTGCAGGCCTACCTCCACTGTGAACGCTTCACTAATCTGTGTTTTAATTATTGAACTTACACCATATTTTCCCTCCTGCATTCATTATGTTTTTGTGTATTATGTTCAAAAACCCTGCATGTCGTTTATAGAAATTAAGATTAAACCTATATATGACATTGTAATTGTTTACATCATGTCAAAGTTACCTAAAGACAACAAGAGTTAAATCTGTCGACTTCACCAGTTAATTTATATTGTGTTTGTGCAAATTATGTCATTTCATTGTGTGTGTGGGGGGGGGGGTATACTGACTGAATCAAATTATTGTGGGGTCATAACCCCCCTAACCCCCTGAAAATTACGCCTGTGTTCCTCAGAGTGTTCCTTTCAGCCAGGGGTGGGCAGTACTACAACTTTAATATCGATCTGATACCAAATAAATACTTGGCAAATATATTTGATACCGAAGTCAGTCTCAGTGTTTTTTACTGATAACGTGATGTTCAGTGAATAACTCTGATGTTGTGAGCACCCCTCCTGGTGCTGAAACAGATTATTATAGGGAGACAGTAAGTTGGTACGACCTGTCGTGGATTATGAACCAACAAACCTTTTTTGTTTCTGTCTTAAAGTTATTTTCTTTTATGCTATCTGAAACAGAAAATGAAACAAATTATTTTAAAAAATTTGTTCATTCCTTTTTGACACTAAGAATGAGAAACACTTTGTATTTTAATTATAATTTCAGTATTTTAAAACAAAAATCAAATATCCACTCGTTTCTTGTTTATTAATACCTGTTTTGAAGTTTTGAATTAATTTACTTTGAAACTGTATTTTGGTTTATTAAAACTTCAGTTTGACTACTTTCACTTTCAGTTCCATAATTCAGATGTTTGTGTCACATCCTGGTCCTTGAGAAAGCCAGGCAGAGTAATCAAACACAGATCCACAGATTTATGTTTCACTTTGGTGAAGTTTCCCTTCTGGATGTAACAGAGTTGATGCAATCCACTGTAAAAGTGACAAAAACACACAAAGTTATTTTATTGCAGTGATTAATTTGACCTATATGTAGAAAATGTTACATTTACATGATGACATCATGGATCAGTCAGCAGCATCTGATCAAAATGTGATCCATGATGTAAATCTGTGGATCTGTGTTTGATTACTCTGCCTGGCTTTCTCAAGGACCAGGATGTGACACAAAAATCTGAATTATGGAACTGAAAGTGAAAGTAGTCAAACTGGATTTTTAATAAACCAAAATACAGTTTCAAAGCAAATTAATTCAGATACAAAACTTTAAATTCAGTTTAATTTAGTTAAATTAATTTTCAAACCGATGTGTTCTAGTCAGATTCAACGTGAGCAATCCAAACTCACTTCCTGCTGGCACAAAGTTGATCCCATAGAACAGCTTCATGTGGAAACATGACTGGACTGAGCTCACCTGCTGCCTGTGAGATCAAAGGAAGGGGCGGGGCCTACACTGAAACATACATTTATCTTCCTGTGAACACTCTCAGAAGCTGTTACCATGGAAACCCAACAGGATGCAACGTGATTGGCCGGATGTTTTAGTTGACTAATGGGCAGCTGAGGTATATTTGTTGACACCTGCATGGAAAGGGCGGGGCCTCCTGCTGTGTCGCTGGGTGCCAGCAGGACGTGATCCGGGGCCAGGTGAGTCTGTCAGACGGTGGGCTCTTGCGGGGGCAGGGTGTGCAGCACCTGGTCCAGCAGCTGCAGAGCCCGGTGCAGGTGCACCTCCAGCCAGCAGGGGGTGTCTTTGATGCTCTGCCGCGGGTAGTCACACCCCCAACCCTTAACAAAGCTCAGGCGCACTATGCACAACCTGCGCAGGTCGTCCACGCCCAGACCTGCAACTGAGCACACACCTGTGGGAGGAGCCAAACACACCTTTACACCTGAGCAGAAAGACTGCACATCAAATATTCTATTCAAATTATATTCTATAAAACCAGACAGGTGAGACTCACTGATGCCAGGTGTAATCCCAGCCACACTGTTTGCACCGGGAGTCGCACCGACAACTGCAACCGCCTGAGAATCTGCAGCCACCTGAGCTGCTGCTGCCTGCTGCTGCATCTGTCTGTGGCACTGCCGCAGGTCAAACACCTGCAGGACAGGTGAGACCGAGGACAGGTGAGGCAGAGGACAGGTGAGACCGAGGACAGGTGAGGCAGAGGACAGGTGAGACTGAGGACAGGTGAGGCAGAGGACAGGTGAGGCAGAGGACAGGTGAGACAGAGGACAGGTGAGACCGAGGACAGGTGAGGCAAAGGACAGGTGAGGCAGAGGACAGGTGAGACCGAGGACAGATGAGGCAGAGGACAGGTGAGACTGAGGACAGGTGAGGCAGAGGACAGGTGAGGCAGAGGACAGGTGAGACAGAGGACAGGTGAGACCGAGGACAGGTGAGGCAAAGGACAGGTGAGGCAGAGGACAGGTGAGACCGAGGACAGGTGAGACCGAGGACAGGTGAGGCAGAGGACAGGTGAGGCAGAGGACAGGTGAGGCAAAGGACAGGTGAGGCAGAGGACAGGTGAGGCAGAGGACAGGTGAGACCGAGGACAGGTGAGACCGAGGACAGGTGAGACAGAGGACAGGTGAGACCGAGGACAGGTAAGGCAGAGGACAGGTGAGACAGAGGACAGGTAAGGCAGAGGACAGGTGAGACCGAGGACAGGTAAGGCAGAGGACAGGTGAGACCGAGGACAGGTGAGACAGATGACAAGTGAGACATAGGACAGGTGAGACCGAGGACAGGTAAGGCAGAGGACAGGTGAGACCGAGGACAGGTGAGACAGATGACAAGTGAGACATAGGACAGGTGAGACCGAGGACAGGTAAGGCAGAGGACAGGTGAGACCGAGGAGAGGTGAGGCAGAGGACGGGTGAGGCAGAGGACAGGTGAGACTGAGGACAGGTGAGGCAGAGGACAGGTGAGACATAGGACAGGTGAGACAGAGGACAGGTGAGACTGAGGACAGGTGAGACAGAGGACAGGTGAGACCGAGGACAGGTAAGGCAGAGGACAGGTGAGACCGAGGACAGGTGAGACAGATGACAAGTGAGACATAGGACAGGTGAGACCGAGGACAGGTAAGGCAGAGGACAGGTGAGACCGAGGAGAGGTGAGGCAGAGGACAGGTGAGACAGATGACAAGTGAGACATAGGACAGGTGAGACAAAGGACAGGTGAGGCAAAGGACATGTGAGGCAGAGGACAGGTGAGACTGAGGACAGGTGAGACAGAGGACAGGTGAGACAGAGGACAGGTGAGGCAGAGGACG